ACTGTTATTATCAGCATTAAAAAAAAAAAAAAAAAAACCAGTGTGCTTCTCAATAATAATGTCCCCCTTTATCAATTCAAAAAATGTGCTCCAAAATTAAAATTCCATTTTATATATCAGTCAACATTACAAAAAGTTCTGGCTAAATCTCCACATTTTCAAACTACTCTCAGAAGAACCAAACTAGCCTAACCAGCATTACATGAATATAATAGAGCATATATAACACACCAAGCAAATAGCAATATGCCAACATGCCCAAAGAACATATATAAGTTGAGGCACAAAAGCAAGTAGTTTGGATTAGCACCAAGATAGTTTGCTCAAACAGACCTGCTTGATTTCGGGAGGAGCAGGAACTTCTGGGGCCAAATCCTCCCGTTCCTCAGGATCAATGGCGACAGCTTCATCATCATCGGTGAAAATTTCTTCATGCTCCCAATCATCACCTAAGACCATAAAATACATGTGCCTGAGGTAGGAATTACTAGAAAACCTAAATTGCCATGTATGGTTTACAAAAAAAAAAAATCAGTGTAAAATTCAACACAATTGAAGCTCATAGCACGCCCATTAAAAAGAACAAAAAAGCAATGTATCATGTTTAATGTGCATCAGAAAGAAGATAGTATTGATTTCAAGAAGGCAGAAAAAAAGACTACCAGACATATAAAAAAAATACCAGCAATTAAAAGAACATAAAGAAATCATTTAAGCATTTATACAAGAAATTGGCACCCACATGGAGTTTGAGCAAGAACACTCACCCTTCTCAATATCATCATCATCCATATCAAGATCACCTCCTCTTGGACCTTCTTCATCATCATCACCACCCTGTTTATTGAGTCCGAGTCTACTCTTCCTTCCAGCCTCCTCCTCTTCATCTTCCTCTCCCCTGTCAGACACATTTCCCTCATCATCATCACCACTTGCTTTCCGACGCCCACCTCTCCCACCAGCTGAAACACCCTCCTTATCATCTACCTTCTCCACCTCACCAAATGCAGCAGCTCCATTATTTGCAGCTTTCATCATCCACCTTTCATACCCGTCCGCAGTCTTCCTCCTATTCTTCATCTTCTCCTCTGCTTCCTCCAACGTAAGTTGCTTATAATGCGCTACCTTGTTAAAGTTGTACCTATTCCACATATCATCATTACCACACCAATCACAAGCACCAAATTCATACATTTTACAACCACCCTACCTCAAGTAAGGAACCACAAACACCAAAGTCATTAAAAATAACAATCACACATA